GCTTCTGATGGGAAAAAGGACCCTTCGGACAAAACTGTGAAAAAAGATGGAAGTTCTTCAGCAAAGAAAAGACTTAAAAAGGTAAAGATTTTATACTCAATTTTTAATACATGCTTTGAATTATTTACCCTAGCAAAATTAGATTAAGGAAAGGTAATTAGATAAAGTCATCAGGTATAAGCAATAATGTAAACTCTGCAATGAATAGATTAAATTAAACTTTGCAAAAAAAAAGTCAATGCTGGATGGGAGTTCTTTAGTTACGAAGTTAGTAACTCATACAATTCTATGTTGTGGAAGTTTCTAAGTACTGATCGCCTTGTAGTATAGTCTGCTTTTAAAAGATGATATATCACTTTGTAATAAATTGGCCCAAGATGCTCATAAACAATTGGCTGCTCTTTCAAAAGTTGGAGTTTTTTTGAACTTGAGAAATGTAAACTTCATCAAATATTATTAATAACTTTTCAAACTTACATTAGGTAATAGGTCACATAAAAGCTGCTTAGGCCGTGAATATAAATAGTATGTGTATATAGGTGTAAATACACTATAAGTAATAGTAAGATAATAACTTCTCATCCTGATAATTAAGGAGTATTTATTCCATGCTACAAATTTTCTAAGGTCTGTTAGTAATATGGCAGATAAGATATTAGCCCATTTCAAAAAGTCATGGAGAAGTCCAAAACTTTAGGTTCTGCAGTTGGTAAATTGCAGAGCCAAAATTTAAACCTAGACAATTGGACTCTAGAACTTGATTTCTTAACCACTACACTGTTCCCTAAAAAGGCCATTTATTATATTGTGAGGTTCTTGCAAAAGGCATCAAACTACTTTTATTAAAAGAATCAACCTAAGGTATTGAAGTGTCACCAGTGATTTGTGGGGGACAAAATAAGTCTTTTCACTTATTTTTTTTTTGGAGAGAGAATAAAGACAAAGACGCCATCCCTTTCCCTTCAAGTAAAACAAACGGAAGGGATGCTGCCGGATAATTGTTGCAGAGTAAATTTGTCTTTTTTAACAGCGTCGTTTCCCAGGGAGTATGGAAGGTTTTGTCACTCTAGATGAGGTTGGTGATGAGGAAGATTCGGAACTTCAGAAACTTCGTAAATCGGGCATGGCATTTAAATCTGGTGACAAAAATTATGATGGTTTGGTTGAAATTAAGGTGGACAAGATCGAGGAACTTGATCAAGAAAATGAGGCAGCGTTGGAAAATGGAATTAAAAACGAGGAAAGTACAGAGACAGGCGCTGAATCTGCTGAGAATGCTGATGATCCCAACAAAGATACAA